TTTTCACGACCACACATTTCGTTTGCATCATCCCATTATTCATTTATTTTTTCATCGGTTTCGTCCTTAATTGTTTGGTCATTGATTCGTTATTATCGTCAACGTTTTTTTCATAAGGGATCCCACATCATCTATATTAGTTGGTTTGGTTCTAATACTATGCTAAGGTCAATAAGTTCCACCCTAAAGAAATAACCTAATAGGGAAAGTAGCTCAAAGTTTAATATATTTTACCTATTAGTTCAATAGTTCATGTTACACAAGTGCAATACAATATTTATAACAAGTATTAAAAATATACAAGTAATAATTTAAGCGTAGCTTCCACAAATAGAAGTTAAATAAAACATTATTTCTCAGTGCATGATAATGGAACGAAAAGGATAGTCATGGTCTCATGGATAACAGCAAATTAAATGAATGTTAAACAAAGAGCTCGTTTTAAGCATACATTGACCTAAAATGGTTTTTAATATACCAAATGAAAATATTTATAAGTTGAAGTGTAACAGTTCTTTATCTTCATTTTAACCCTTCACCAAAACAAGCACCGAATGTGCTACTTTAATAAGCACATTCCATCAAAACAGTATAAAAGCGGGATGTTTTGGAGGCAAATGAAAGATAAGGGAGATAAGCCACAGGGTGTGTTTACCAAACAAACACCAAATAAGTAAACTCACAATTTATAAATGTACAGAAACGTTGAACAGAACTAGAATTTCCTGGGGGAGAGAGTGAGAGAGAGCAATCACCTGTCACCCTTTGGCTTCCTTATCCGATCACCAGTGCTGAAGTTAGCCATACTATACTCACAGCGAACCTAAGAGATCATTGAAGAATAAACCATCACAAACCTTCACCAAAATAGAAATCACAAAAATATAATACTCATTGTAAAAGTTAAATACCAAAGCTTGGTCGTTAATTTGTTGGCTCCTGTTTTGAACCTAAATAGTATAGAGAGATATATAGAACGAATCTGTAATTAGGCTTCTGTTTTGAACCTAAATAGTATAAAATGATATACAGAATGAAGCTGTAATTATCCATATAAACAATTAGTTGGCCTATTTTTCGAGTGCTTGGAGCTAATTTCTGCAGTTTACCTCCCTGGGGCCATAAACAACAGCAATGACTTTGGTGTTACCCATTTCAAAGACAGCAGAACTGCAATGTTACCATACAATTGCAATTTATCTACTCATCTAGATTTTCTAAAAAGGTGGAAGAACAGAATAGAATACAGCTAGTAAGAGTGTTGCTTACCCGTCGGCTCTGGCAACCACACCTATTTCAGCACGAAGTTGCCTCATCTGCAGGTGAAAAAAATTATCATTATAAATGCATAGTTTATGTATCAAGATTTTAAGGATACCGAAATTGAAATGCTATACTTTGGGCATTCGAGATAGAAAGACATAAACCTCGAGGGGACGGCGACCATCCAAGCGAAGACCTTCGGGGCTAACGTACTCCATCGCTGAGAAGATGCCTGCTTGCCGGAGAATAAAGAAGGACGGCCGTCAGTGGGATGGAACGCGGCGGCGAGCAGGGAACCGTGGTTAGTGTCGGTATTTCGACCTCCGCGCCAAGTGCTGCTTATTTTATGGGCTGTCATGTGTGGGTATTTACTTCCACGAGAGAAATACACGCACAAATTTGATTGACGTTTCTCTTTCATTCTTTTCATAGTGTTAGAGTATCTTCAATGCTAAAACGTTAACGCTGCATATGTGGCATGAGAGATAGACAATGAAAAAACAATAAATAGAATATATCTCTTCTTATTTGGATCTTATATTATTTTGGTAAGTTTTTCTTCACAGTGTCTAGATGTAGACATTGTGATTGACATTACAGAGGAAAACATACCAAAAACACATAAGACCGTGAAAAGACGGAAAGAGAAATGTCATAAAATCAATCTTTTGTGTCTATATCTCTCATGCCACATGTGCACGTGCACATTGTAGCATTGGAGATGCTCTTATGTGTTTTTGTTAAGTTTTTCTCTACAATGTCAATTACAATGTCTACATCTAGACATTGTGCTTGACATTGTGAAGAAAAACTTACCAAAATGATTCAAGATCCTTCAAATAAGGAAAGGGATATTTTATTGGGATAACTATCAAATAAACCCTCGAACTTACATGAAAAGTGCAAATAAGCCATTTTATAGGAGGCTCTGTTCAACCGTCGTCATTTGGGCGGTTTCCGGTGGAATTTTTTGATGAATTTTTTTAGCATCTTCTTCATTAAGTCTAATTTATCCATAACAAATTTGAGTTAATGACCCATATAGGACTAAAATTAGTTTCATGTGCACAAATAGGACTAGAAACGTGAGTAATGTTTCCTAGGACTTAAAAGGGTCTGCTTTACCAATTTTATCCTTGAAGCATAATTAATTAGTTTTTAATTAATTAGTTTAGACGGCAGTTTTTGGAAAAAAAGGCAAACATCGTGCAATGTTCAACCACCAATTTAACCCCTCCCTAGTGCCACCATCCATCGCCGCCGAGTGGTGTAGCCCAACCAGTGTTGCAATTTGTCGCCGTCAGCATCCTCCGCCATCTCTGGTGCACCACCACCCCACCTTCGAGCACCGCCACCGTCATCACAGCTTTAACGCCATACATCTGTCATTACGTCGGAAGATTTAACTTTCAAGAGTATTTGAAATCTGCCATCAATAAGGTTTTTCATATTTGCCATAAAGTTGGCAGATTTATCTTGAAGTTTTACACGAAACTGTCATAAATTTGGCAAAAATGAAGTCAATAACCAAAAATTCAAAAAATAAATAAATAAGCACCATAACATAATCGAAAATTAAATATACGAGGCGAATGACAAAAATTTAGCAAAATCGATTTACACAAAAGCGTTTTTGCCATTATATGGGTGTTGGTGTACACATTCCTGCCATAAACTTGGCAAATAATCTGAAGCCATCATCCAAACTTTTGGATAATTAGAACTTTTAAAAAAACTAAGAAATCTGAAACAAAAAGTCAGAAAATACAAAAAAATCCTCAAATTGGCAAAATCAGTGTCAAAACCCAGAAAAACGTAACAATATGAGGAAAACTAGAAAAATCAACGGCAAATCTCATTTAAATAGAGGAACAGGAGAAGAATGAGGGGAAGGAGGAGGAGATCGTAGAAGATGAAGAAGAAGAGAATGAGAAGAAGAAGAAAAGAGGAAGAAGAAGAAGACGAAGAGAAGAAACCTGTGACGGCGCGTGACGAAGTCTATAGTGTCGACAGCGGCTTGAGGCGGGAGGGACGGCGGTGGTTGCGATGCACGAAGAGAAGTTGTAGGGGAGAACCGGAGAAGTGGGTCTATTCCTACGCACAGGGAGAAACCTAATTGATCGTGCAAGGAGAGAGAATAGGATAGAAATTAAGGAATTTTAGGAATTAATTAAAAAAAGGGTATTAAGGGTATGAAATTTTATTATGTTTTTACATAGGACTAATATAGTCCTATTTAAAGAATAAAAAATTTAAGGTCCTATTAGTGAATTTTCATTATGTTTTAGTCCTACTTAGGACAATTACTTAACAAATTTCAGCTAAAACTTCAACCGAGAATCTAATTTACCCATATCAAATTTCAGCTAAAACTTCAACCGAGAAGGCAGTCAAATGATTTTCTGAAATATACTGCGTTGTCTAACTGCTCAGTTATCTTCAAAAATTCATTTGAGTGCCTTCCCGGTTGAATATTTAGATGAAATTTGGTATGCGTAAACTATACTTAATGAATAAGATGATCAAAAACTTTCATCAAAAAATTCAACCGGGAACCGCCCCAAATAGTGACGTCCGGGCAGAGCCTCCTATCAAAGGGCATATTTGCACTTTTTATGTAAGTTTGAGGGCTTATTTGATAGTTCTCCCTATTTTATTTATTGTTTTCTAATTGACTACCTCTAATGACACGTATGTAGTGTTAACGTTTTAGCATTTGAGATGCTTTTATTACATGGACCTCTGGATCATTGGATAGCTTTACTCTCCTCCCAATAATACTTACGTTCACTTTTGATTATACAATTTTTTAATAGTTTTACTTTTGTCAACAAACAATTTTGTTGTAATTATATTTAATTATATACAAATAAGTATTACGATATTTTAATATTTTGAAATTTCACACGTAAAAAACCTAATAATATTTTATACACGGTGATTTGATTATATATACTAGTAGAAAATCATAGTGTGTGAATAATGTGAAGTTCAATGTTTGCAATTATTAGTAGAGTACTAATCAAACAAATTGGCACTCAATTAAATTGAAACCGATTCGGTTTTACTCAATCCGATTCAAACTCGACTCAGATTAAACTAAATGAAGTTTAAGCTATGAATGCAAATTTGACTCATAAAGTTTACAACCTACTCGGTTATGTATTAGATTAGATTTGATTTGATTAATTTTGTGTTCATAGATATGATAACATCATAAATGTGTGACTCTCTTACTATATAATTGTCCATGACTAAAAGCTACTCATATTTGTTTTAATAGAAGACCAATATGTGAAAGTGATTGTCTTCAACTCTTACTTATAATCATTGTGTAAGAATATGCATAATCATTCTTTTTGGGTAATTTTTGTTGGCGGGATGGTAAAAGATTCTATCTGTTACTAGACACTAGATGACTAGACACCTGTGTTCAAATCCTTATAAGGATAAAGTTTTTATTGTATATTTAAACTCTTTGCTCATTTCGTGTGCGAGTAAAAGAAGAGAGTTGCAAACTTTTTTTTTGTTTATCTAAAAAAAAATTGTCGCTTTTCTTGTAAAACAATGAATTTATGACATTATTCTTTTTTTTGCCTATGCACAAACCTCGATCACGCAGTTTTTACTATTCTAATTTGAAGACTAAGATGAATGCAAGTGAAAACTAGTACTCATATTTGTATTTGTATTTGAAATAGTATGAAGCCACATGTTAAGTTTATTAAGTCACAACTTTCTTATAATTACGATCATGAGAACCAAACTTAACTATAGCACTTTCTATTGAACCATGTTAAGAGTAGGCAAACTTCAAACATCCTTCGTAGGGAAAAACATACACCCCATACAACCGGATTAAAATACCTTGTATTAGAAAATTGTTCAATGTGAGACTATCATTATACAGCAGCACACTATAACCCCAAATTTCTACAGTCAACTAAAGTCCACTTGGCATGTCAAAAATTACTTTTCTGCTACTAGCATTCAAAGAAACCCCAGTGGAAAGACAACTCATTCTTTTGTTGTATCATCCATGAAGGGAGAACTGGACAAAAGGTTATCTGTTGTGTTGAGCCTTTGCCAGCGTTTTCACCATACCCTTGGCAATTTTAGTAAACCAGAATACATTCATCGCTGTCAACACAGGAGGCACTAGCAGCAAGGTATAGAAGCCTATCAGAAACACTTTCTTGACCTACACACAAATACACAATAATCAACAATATTAGGTCATTGTTTCTATTATAACCTTCTGGTTTCCATTTCGGAGAAGGCGAGATTTCTTATACAAGTACTTTTTTAACAAGAAAATCATTTTATTCGTTCAAGCTAGGAATACATATTAAAATAACATTTTTATTTTGTTTATACAAGACACCCGTTTTTTATAAAAGATGCGGTGATCAGCTAAATCTTTTGGGAACAAGGCTTCGATGTTGTTGTATGCAGTGATCAGCTACTGACCTGATCAAAGTGGGTGAACATGTGGTAGAAAAAGTAGATGAACAAAATTATCCTTGCTACCTGAAGGCATTGGAAATCATGGGTAAGGGAAGTTAATGCGGGAATGAAGAACAAGGGATTATTATATTTATGCAGTCAATTGCACACGCATTTGCTCTGTGGTAATTTCACGCCACTGAGTTACTGGGTTTTCATGAATGAAAATGGGCCTCGACAAAAAGCTGTCAAACTGAACCAACCAAAACCGATCTAACCATAACACTTTGATCTGCTTTAAAAACCAACAAACAGATAAAACCAAAATTAACTTAAGATATTTGGTATTTGGCTTTGCACTTCTCAAACCCGGGACAACAAGAACCGACCAGACCTCAAAAGACAACCAAACACCAGTAGCAAAAAATGTCATCATCACATGTTCATATAGTTTTTACTGTCATAGTCATGTCTCAATGCAAGATAATAATACAATCAGAAAGGAATAATGGAGGAAAATCAGATAAATTATAATCTAATTTGCCTGGGGTTAAAGCAAGAAAACTACCAAACTGTTAGCGATGATTGCAGCTAATGACCTCGTGACATATTCAATCCTGACTACTTCAATATAGTTGCTTATAGTTAAAACATAATATAGCAGCCTCAGACGTAATCAAGTGCAAATAAGAAATGGATCTAATGCAAAACATCATCAAGAAGGTCATAATTGTCAAAAACCAAGTAAAATAATAATTCAAAGCTACAAGGTTTTACCAGCCACCCAAAAAACAAAGCCACCCCATTTAAAAGGTAAAGTTTAGAGCTTTTCTGACCAGCTGCGTCCAGGTACCTGCATGTACAGCCAGTTGTCAAATGCCACAAGATGAGTAAAGTAAGGATGATGGAACTCTGTAATGTATCAATGCTAACCATCTCAAGTTAACAAATGGAGTGGTGACCTCAGAAAACAGAACCATCAGTATGTATATCAGTCCTTGCCCACTCAAAAGGGATTGAAGAATTGATAACAATGAGAGCCCATGGTGAAAGATCTAAAAGAAGAAAAACAAGAAACCAAATGCGTCTCATTCCTTTTCCCTCAAACACACACATATATATGCATAGATATAGCATAATTAGAATAAGTTGTATAATAATAGCTTCCTTGATTTAGTTAAAAGGTTTTTCCTAAAATATTACTAATAAAAAAGTACAAAACGTGACTTAGTAACTTTTAGTGACTATAATTGTATACAAAGTTTACATCATAGTGACCGCATGTAGTAAAATAGTTGATTTTTTTCTATACTTAATGACTAATTTCACACACACACATATAGCTTCACAGAGTATTTCTTAAATCATTCAATGTTAAATAAACAGAACACTATCACCACCATCTACAAAAACCATGTCCCCAAACCTATTTTACTTTTTCTTTGAAATTTGAATTAAATAAATATTCTCATCAAAATCCCAAATAAATATCAAAAGCTCATAAAGCTAAACAACAAATATCACTTCAGATTAAATAAAGCAGTGCATGCTTATACTTACATATTCAAATCCGCCTAAAGCAGGGAAATAATAACAAATCATCGCCAAATCAACAAGAAAATAACCAGTAGAAATCTGTGTCATGAAAGGAGTAGCAAAGTCAAGTAATATCACTATTAGAAGTAAAGACAATACAAAGAGGTCCTGTGTACAGATTATAGAGTAATAGAGGAGAATTAAAAGTGCATCAGAATTGTCTATATTTGTTAGGCGCAATGTAATAGGATAGACAATGCACAACCCCTAGTATGGTGTTTGAGAAAGATGATGTCCGGTTGATAACTAATTCTTCTTGAGAACTGTCATAAAAAAGATTGGATCCAACCAAGAGGTACAGCGATGCAACAGCCACAACCAGAGCATGAAAGGTAGAAAATCCACTGCGGATGAAAAACATAATCACAATTTAGATGGTGAAACAATTTAGATATTAGTTATTTAAAAAGATGCAGCACAACGTAACATTGTTACCGGTTCTTCCATTCAACTCTAGTTTTGTCATCAAGTTTCATGAATCCCTTATACAAGAAAGGGCTTACTACACCTGTTAAGTCATACACCTTCAAAAGGAAGATAACATTTAAGATATCAGTAGATATAGATTCTTGAACAACTTTTTCATCTTGCATAGCAGTTAACCTCAAGAAAGCCCACACAGTAACCCATTCAACAACAAGCCTTATTCCCAATAGATTTGGGGGTTGGTCCCACACAGTAACCCATTAACTCAAGAAAATCCTAAACACCTCTTGTTTCACCATTTCACAAATTTCAGCTTTTAACTTCGAAGAAATTAAAGAAATTGGTAGTTGATAAAGAAATTGGTAGTTACAAAAGTAGGATCAACATATATTCAGCAGTTAATAAAGAAATTGGCATTCAAAAAGAATGTAAATGATAAAATGCTCACTATCTTGCACATGATGAAGCCAGCAGAAACAGAGAACATCAACTGCAGCTCTTTGCCCGGGTCAGCAATGTTACTCAAGCTCGCTAGCGCCATTCTGCTCTCTGAATAATCAGACACAAGAACAATCATAAACCATCGACAGCACCGATATAACTTAACAAGAACTTCTTCTGCTAGAATGCAGAGACTCCCTTACTCGGAATCGATAAGAAAACCGAACCACAAAAAGAGAAAAGGGGAAGGTATTCTCGCTCGATAAGAACTTGGCAAAGAAGAGTCAAGGACAGCGAATGGCTGCTGGGTCAATCGCAAATTTATTCTCCGTAAAATAAAACACAGTGATATATTCCGGGGGATCCGTTAGCGGGATTGACAGCCGATTCTCTTTACTGTAATCTAGCTCTTCCAATTCGTGTTATAATAATTACTAATTAATTACTCATTTACTCCGTATTAATTGATCATGAATCCATTCTTCTTTTGTCGACTCCGTATTACTCGTCAAAGCTACTCCCTGACTGGGTCCGTAATATCCACCTTTTCTCTTTTTGGGTTAACTTCTAGCTAAAACTTTTAATTTCTATTTTAGAAAATAATTACTAGCCTATTATGTTTTAAAGAATAATTTAATCACGAAATATTAAAAATAGTATACTACCGTACTATGTAATAAATATTATATCGCTTCTCATTATATTGTATATTTATCAAAATTGTTTCTAAAATATACTTGAGTTATCTTATTGAAATATTATCTAAATAATCGTTTCATTTTAAAATACAGTACGATAGGAGTCTATTTGGCAGAATTGAAACTGACTTTATGGGGTGGAATTGATGAAATTTTGAATGAATCAGCTGAATTACCCAATATTAATATTTAAAATATATTTTATTAATACAAACAAGAAAAATCAAATGAAATTTTAGCAAAAATAGCCTTAGTAAACCATTTCAGCCAGTTCAGCTACAAAGGTAACTTAATCTTATGGAGTACTTCCTCCGTCCAGGTCATTTCTTTCAACTTTCCTTTTTGGACTGTCCCAATTAATTTTCCAACTTCCACTTTTGAAAAAAAATGTGGTACACATCCATTCATCTTTTTTACACAACTACAACCATATATTTCCACTTTATTCCCACTATCTAAATTTGCGAGCCAAGTCAAAACCGGAACAAATGACCGGACGGAGTGAGTATTTATTTTGATTATTATACAACTCAATGCGCAAAAAAAAAATTAGATATTATTATCTGATGACCAAAAGCGCCCAATTTAATCTTATGTAGTTATTGCTTAAGCTCTATTATAATCACTTCCTCAACTCTTCACAATTTTAACTTCTGAATACACCTACTAGTTAACGAAATGTATCGGTAAAAAGATTAAGACAATGTTACAAAATAACCAAAAGGAGAAATATTCAGGTTCGGAATTCCAGACCAGAATCGCCAACCGGACGTCGGAGTTTGGCCATCTTCCCGGTTAAATTTTTGGATGAAATTTTTATAGCATGTTTTTCACCAAGCCTAGTTTATCCATACAAAAATGCAGCTAAACATTCAATCAGGAAGGTGGTCAAAAAAAATTCGGAAGTTAACTGCGTTTTACATGTATATTCTGGTGCAGTTATCTTTCAAAAATCATTTAAGAGCCTTCCCAATTGATTTTTTAGCTGAAATGTTTTGTGAATAAACTAGACTTGATGAAGAACACGTCATAAAAACTTCATCAATAAAATTCCAACGAGAAGGGCCCCAAACGCCGTCGTCTGGATAGTGGTTCCGGTCAGGAATTCCTGACCGGAAGAGTACTCTAACCAAAAGCATGTCATTATACTTTAGCTTGCGCCTATCTTGATCTTTTATGAACTTGCTGCTTGGTAATATTTAGGGATTTTAGGCTAACAAAAACTCCTCCTCTAAGACCCTAAATAGCTAAAGCTACCCATAAATGAGAAAGTGAAACATCAATCACCAAAGCCCCGTTTGGTTGGAGGGTTTGAGAGGGGAGGGGAGGAAAGTGGGGGATTTGTATGTGTTTGGTTAAAGTAAATAGGGGGGAAGGGAGGAAAGTGGAAGGCTTTCAAAATCCTCCACTTCCTCCCATTCTAAACCCCCAAAATCGGGATATTTCGGAGGAAACGTGTCGATAACCGCAAACTATCTATCTCCTACATGAATTGTTGGTCCCAGTTGTACTGGATACAGTCTAGAGGGGGGTGAATAGACTGTATTGGTTTTTAACTTTTTCAAGCTAAGTACCAGATTTCACAGAATAGCATGTTCTGTTGGCAGAACAGACTGGCAGCGGATGGGGTTCTGGTAGGGGTTCTGTCAGTTTGGCCTCAGAGAAGCAAAGGCAGTAGGCCTTCTGTTAACTCACAAGACAAGTTATGTTGAACACAGAGACCAAGTCTTTGGAGTTAAACAGTTCAAATAAGAACAATAAATAAATGCAGTAAGTAAATGACATCAGGGCTTTTTATAGTGGTTCAAGGAACAACTTGTTCCTCTAATCTACTGTTCCACTAAGCTTGTAAAAACGTCCATTTACAATGCCTCAGTCCTATCACTTAAGAAGCTCTCCACGTCTTCTTCAAGTGTAGATGTCTCCTGGGATGCACTTCCTGGCTTCCTTTAAGACTGGTCCTTTCACTGAGCTTCCCGGAAGTATCACCACTTCACAGCTCCAGGTACTTGGACGTCCTTCTTGTGAAAGAAGAGTTTCTGTTGAAACAGGGGTTCCTCCAACTTGCTTCGTTACAAAAGTTTTGTAGATAAAGTGCTTGAAGTGTTGAAGAACGAATAGAACTTTGCTTGAGTTGGAAGTAAGAATCTTTCCAACGTCTGTCTTCTCTTGTAGAAGATGATGAAGATTTAATCTCAAGGAGGCTTTATGCGTTTTGAGCGTTTGAATGTTTTTGTATTCATACTGTTGTAGCAAAGTTAAAAAGTTGTTCTTCGTAGTGTATCTTTTATACTGGGGTTGTCTTCCCGTTGGAGGAGAAGGAGGACAACTGCATTAAATGCGCGAACAGTTGATTTGACTAGTAGGACCCAGCAAAGTTGACGGGTTACTATTTTGGGATAAAGCTATCCTGACATTGCGGCCAATCATCTGCATTTACTCTACAGAGTACGGGAGGCATTAAATGTGCATTTAATGCGTGTACTGTAGCTTTTCCATTGAAGTCTTCTAGCCGTTGAAGGAATCTTTCGTTGGTTTCACCGGTTGAAGTGGTATCAAGAAACTTCTCCAAGTGTCAGGCCTTCTGGTGTCTTCAGCAGAAAGTCTCTTAGAGAAGGTCTCGAGCACTTCTGTTTGAAAAGCTATCAGAGGGTCCTTTAGGTCTTCTGTCAGAAGTAAGCTAACAGAAGGTGAAGAGGGTTTCTGTTGTAGTGCTGTCCAACAGAGATCCAGAGGTATTCTGTCGGAGTAAGAATCAACAGAGAGGCAATGGTCTTCTGTCAGGAGGTCTTCTGTCAGTCGACTATGCTAAGAAACTTTACAAGGAAAGTTTATAATACAAGAAATAAAAAGAAGGGGTACTCTAAAGTCCTAATAAGCATAGCATCATCAAAATCTAATTACAATTATTCCTTACAATTTCCCCCTTTTTTATGATGCCAAAACCCTTTAACTATTTCCAGAGAAGTGCTTTCACCATTAAAAAGTTAAAGTTTAAAATTTTCATTAGAAATCTTGGTGGGAAACTTGGCATAGGAAAAATAGTAAGAGTACAGTACATTCAGATAGAAGTTAAGAATAGAAAGGTATCAGAGCAAGACATGAAACACAGAAAGCAAATAAACACACAAATACAATCAGAGAAAAGAGACATATATGAAGGAATTGCCTTACTAAGAGAGAGGCGGAGATGTTCTTTTATTAAGGGAAATGGTAGGGGTGGTCCTTTACATATTTTCCCTTGCAGCATGAGCTATAGCTTGATCATCCAATTCTTTCAGTCTTTTCAACTCAGCATTGACTTCTTCTCTTATCTCTGTGAGGTTCCCCGCTCTTTGATAAGATGCCCAAATGGGTGAAAGCTTGCAATCAAGATAGTTGAGGACACCTTCATGGACGTCCTTCCCTGGAAGAATTCTGTTAAGATACCAGTACTCAGCTTCTTCCAGTGAGCCGCCATGCTTAACTCTTATTCGAGCTTCTCTGTCCAGGTAGAGGTTCTGCTGCTGAGTAGGAGTCATCTTCTGTTGAATTTCCTCAAACTGAGCTCTACCTATCCTCTGTGATCCATTTAATCTCCATTATCTGAAGTTTAGAACTTTCCTCTTCTTGGATGTATTTCTATGAGGAGATGAGGGTCTAGAGAGTCCAGCTTCTTTCTTCTTTTGTATGGAAGCCTGGAAGTAAGGGGTTGGATCAACAGATGGGCCAGCTGAGGTTATGGCAGATGGTTTCTTCTTTGGCTGGGGGTCCTCTTCCCCCTTTTTGGCATCATCCAGGCCAGAGATCATCATTGTGATATTCTGAAACTCTGTTGCCTGGGATGTGGCAATCTGCTCAAGGGTTTCTGGAAGGGTCTGTGTAACAGAGGTGAGACCTTCTATCAGACCCTGTTGCTTGTGGAGAGCTGAAGCAATATCCTTGGAACTTGCTTCAAGAAGAACCAATTTCTGGTATCTTTCTTTGTCATCAGAAAACAGAGTTCTGGTTTGATCGCGGTGGACTTTGCAGAGTTCCTCAATGTCTAGCAACTACTCTTTAGTCTTGGTGTCAGCCCATTGAAGTTCTTCAAGATTGGTTGAGATGGTTTTAATTGCTTCACCTTGAGCCATCAAGGTTTGGTGAAATGTGAATAGGGTCTTATGAATACCTTCCACTTCACTTGAAAGAGCGTCAGTCTTGGCAGTGGATGAATCCATGAAGTTGTGGAGAGATTCTGTTAGTGCAGCAAAGCGGGATGAGATGAAGTCCATACCAGATTTGAAGTTGTCATTGACATGAGATAGATGCTCAAAGTGTTTGTCGTTGATTTGTATGAGTTTGTTCATTCCATCCAACATTTGACCACCAAATTCTTCTGCAGCTTCAACGAACTGATTGAAGGGAATTTGGGGTTCTGTCTCTACAAGCTCTGGCATTCCCAGTCCTCTTGACCTGGGCATTGGAGGCCTTCTGGTCTGTTGCAGAGAGGGATGCTGAGGGGAAGGTTCTCCGGGAGGAGTTTGTTGTCTCTTGGCGGTGAGATCCCCAGCTAGGGAGGATGGAAGGAATCCATCATTCTCACTATCAGAGGAGAGGACACGGTGTAGAGGCTGTCTCTTAGGAGTAGATGCGACAGAATGCTGAGAGGTTCTTGGAGAATTTGCAGCAGGAGAGGGTGACTTTTGTTGAGGTTGGGTAGGTGATTTATGATTAGAGGGGGCTTTCTGGTGTTGGGATGTAG